CTTACCCAAAGTAGTATGGTATAGCTGAGGTTAAAGTAAGATCATAAAGTACCCAGATAATAGAAAGACCTACCTATGGAACCAACCAACTTGCCAAACCTAACACGCCTCTTTCCAGTAAAGCCTACCATAGGTTATGTGAACAATTTGGAATATCAAGTGACTGACTCGCCGCTGGTCCCGGTTTCAATACGTACAAAAACAGTTCAACGGCATAACCATGGCGTCGGGGACGACCAGATAAGGCGAATCCGTCAACAAATAACATTAACATTAAGAAAACCCAGCTTAAGGATTAATGAAATAAAAGAACGATCCGGCTGGTGGGTCATGTGAAATTAGGAAACTGCGGACCTAGAGACCGTAGGTCCTACACCACGGGACCAGAGACCCGGGACGTCATATGACGGACTTAATGAAGCATAAGCTATCTCACGAGTTCGGTGACATACAGAGGCCTGCAGCCTTCCGTTGATCTCCGCAGAATGATAACTCTGGCTTTAAAAGATGTGACAGATCCTAAGGTGTCTAAGGACCTTCAGGATAGCGGAGGGAGGTAAAAAAAAAAAATATTATTACCGGTAAAATTGATATAATATTCACAAGATATGTGTGTTAAAGATTGAATTTAAAAATTTAATTTAAAAATTATCTTATATAGTATTTTTGTATGATAACAAGAGGATCAAGAAAGAAATTTTCAGATAAAATCAAAATTACATAAAAAATTTAGATACCTACGAATAATACCAAAAATAACAGGGTACCGTATCAAAAATACTAGAATCAAAATTAAAAAAAAAAAATTACAAACATAGCGCACTAAGATTTTTTAAAAAATTTACATAGTAATTTTATTATAAATCGATGCATTTTTAAAATGCTCTAACTATCGTTCTAATAAAGAAAATTTAATTCTGTAATTTGTAAATGATATATTGATAGCATAGCTATAAATTTATGTGGAGATATTTTCCAATTTATTGTATTAATTTATCTAAAATTATAAATAAATAAATTTTCATAGTAAAATATTCGTTATTTAAACCACAGAGATCTCTAAAATTCACATATTAATATAAAACATGGTCATATAGGTTTAAAATTATGCTATTTTAAGTTGTTGAATTAAATTTGCTTTGTTAGAACGGGAGTTAGAACATTTTAAAAGTCGAATTTTTTTATGCTCTGAGCATTTGCTTAGAAATATGTGTGCGCCAAGTCTTATTTAAAGTTAAATAATTGATTTTTTAATAGATTTTTTAATATAATTGCAATAATTCTTATAAAACCTTTAATAAATGATCAGTTATAACGTCCTAAAGATCTATCCGGAGGTTGTTAAATTTCCCATTATAAAATCCTACCAATTTGATTGAGAGGGAAAAATGTAGGCACGTGAGTGTGAGGGAAAAACGTGACCTAACGAAGGCACGTGATAAACGTAACCACGACCCACCCAAACCGAAGCTGAGCCGCAAGATCCGCATGTGAAAGTAGCATTTTAATAAATGCTATATTGGGTTTAGCTCGAGGCGAAGCCCATTGAGAACAATTAAATCATGGCTTTGTGGGAACAAAGGTTATTGTTAGTCGCTTGTAGATCCCCCCGATAATAAATTGTAAAAGTCCGATAAATCTCTCATGTATAAAAGTCCTGTAAATTCTTTCTGTTAGTAAAGAGTCAGATAATTTATCATTTGGTATTAATAAAGACCTACCTTAAAGCCAGGATCTTATGTGGCAATTTACAATTTCACCGGTACAGCGGATAACATGTAACACCATAGTGTCACAGCTTTGTGTTAAATTCTATATAACGTTTAGTGTGTTCTTTAGTGCGTCCAAAAAAATTTATTATAATTGGATCAAGCTGCTCCATTAATACTTTTTTTTATTCATTTTACAATGGATAAAAGGCTTGAGTTTGAAATGTATTTGAAATCCGCTGAAGGCGGCAATTCCAAGGACAATTGAATCTTAGACTCTGTTACCAAAATGGCATAGGCACTATAAAGGATGAAAATAAAGCATTTGAGTGGTATTTGAAATCCGCTGAAAACGGTTATTACAATGGACAATTTGAAGTTGGATTATGTTATAGAAATGGTATTGGAACATCACCTAATCGTGAAAAAGCTGCGAAAAATGAAAAGTAATAGAGATCAAAAAGAAATTAATTATAACAATCTTGATAGTTTTCTTAAAAAATCATTATTTAAAGATAATTTGTTAATACCGTGGATTCCGTTTAGCGAATTAAAATTTATACAAGAGATAGGAAAAGGAGGATTTGCAACTGTTTATTCTGCTGAGTGGACGCAATTAATTAAAATTAATGAACAATATAGTGAACAAACACTGACAATTGCACTTAAAAATTTTAATGAATCAGAGAAATGAAATATTTTGATAATTTTATTAAATTTATATAAATACTATTATTAATTTAATCATTGTAATTTTTAAATTCAAATATTGGATCTAAAAATCCAACATTTTTACAATGTCATGGAGTAACAAAAGATGAAGGCACAGGTAATTATATTATTGTTATACAACATGCACGTAAGGGTTCTTTGCGCAAAAATCTTTACAATGTAGCAAAAATGAAATGGGATAAAAAATTAGATTTATTATCTTACATTGCATTGGATCTTAAATTGATTCACTCACATGATATAATTGATTTACATAGTGGTAATATTTTACAAGATGATTTATATAATGCTTATATTGGTGATTTAGGAATTGCAATAGCTGTTAATAAAACATTGGATTCAAAATCAGGAGGAATTTATGGAGCTGTACAATACATAGCTCCCGAGATTTTACACGGAAAACCATTTTCTAAAGCATCAGATGTTTATTCATTTGGAATGATTGTGTGGGAAATTTCTTCAGGAAGAGTTGTATTTTCAGAATCTGAATATGATGAGTGCGATAAATTAGAACTAGCTATAGAAATTTGTGAAGGATTAAGACCAACTATTCTAGAAGGTACGCCACTACGTATGCTGAGCTTTTAAGAAAGTGTTGGGATAATGATCCCGAAAAACGACCAACAACTTCAGAAATATATAAAACCGTTATGGACTGGAAAAATGATAGTAAAGTTTTATCAGAATTTATAGAATCAGATAATAAAATGGTAATAGAAAATACTTCATTTATTGATAACAAATCAGCCTATAGTAGTAAATTTATTAGTTGTATAAACAAATTAAATAAGTGCCATATTAAAGATATTACCGGTACTGATAGTATGTCAGGTAATATTGATTTCGAAAACATAAAGGGTGCTAATGTTGGAAATATGAAAATAGACACTGATATTGAAAATATGCGAATGAATTCTGAAATACTACATATTCAAATAAGCCATAACATTAATGAGAAAGGTGATACAGTTAACTCTGGATATAATGAACCTTTTTATAATGAACTTTGGATATAATGAACTAAAATTTTGAAATTTTAATAGTAGTTCAGTATAAAAAGAGCTACAGCTCTTAAGAAAACATAGTAATTTGTTATAACGAACTTTTTTTTTTTTGGCCAGACTCGAGAGTTCAGTATAAAAAGAGTTGACTGTAGTATGGAAAAAAGGATCAAAAGAATTCGATAAGCTTTTGATTTGAAAAAGAATGTTAAAAAATATAATTTACATGATTATTAGAATACGAACTTTATTAATTTTATATTTCACTGTGAATAAAATTTATTGTCCTTATTGAATAAAAAAGTATAAAAAAAAAAATTAGTGTACAGTAGGGTATTTTAGATATAGATTTTATATAATTCCTTTATTTGTTATAAGACAAATCAGTCAACGAACTTTAAAATTTTTTACATAAAAGCCATCTAATATACTGTACATACAGTATGACCTGAGATGAAATTTGCCCGAAAATTGGTTTGGTAAATGCTGATTCGAAATCTAAAATATAGTTTCAAGTTTCAGAAAATCGAACTTACAGCCATCTCATAAGTTCTGGGACAAACTAAAATTTTGTTATTTACCGAATCTCTTTGGTTTCTTCAAAAATCACTAACTCTTCGGAAACTACATCACTACCTTGGTAGTTAGATAATATCGTATAATGTAATTGAAAAGATTTCGGGAAATAGATTTTGGAAATAAAATTTTTTAGTTTGTCCAGAATTTGAGAACACCTTAACGTATAAATTTGAAAATCCGAAACCTTTCGGAAAAAAAAAATAGTTTCGAATCACAATTTATACTATCTATTCTTAATTAAGAGTTATTAAACATTTACTCAACAATTAGTGAGTTGAGATAATGAGTTTTTAATATTATTTGGATGTATCTGTGATAGATATTGCAAAATTTTAAACGATAATTTGTTTCGTAGAATATAAAACAATTTTTTTTTCTTTCGTTTATCTTTTAGTACGGAACACCCTTTATACTCTTTTATTAATCTTAAATAAAAGGCTACAAAAAGATTCTAAAATTTCAAAATTATAACGTTTATTTTAAAAGTTATTACAGTAAATGTTTTTTAAATTCAGAAAAAAACTTTCAAACATATAAAAAATAGTTATAAAACTATATTAAAAAAAAATAGGTATAAAACTATATTAAAAATATTTATATATTAAGTTTTATCAAATTTAGCTTTTGCTTTCTTATCATGCAATTTCTTATCATCTTTTCCTTTCTTATCATCCTTTCCTGGTTTTGGTCTAGCATCTTCTTTAACTCGAATTTTCTAAAAAAAAAAAAAAAAAAGATTTAATGATGATACATGTATATGATAAGTAAAAATAAAAATAGAAATTTACCTCGAGAATAGATTTAATATATTGATATGTTTCAAAAGTATGCGAAACATGCAATGCTGAAGGGAATTTATTTTTAACAACATTCTTATTTGCCGAGTCAGGCCAACATTCCAAACCTTCCATATAATATGCCAAATTTTCTGTTTCCTTGATATTTTCACCAGTAGTTAAATACCTTACAATAAATCTTTTCAATGCAGTGGCAAAAACTCCAGCTGGAATACATGACTTGGCATCATATGTTTGTCCTTGCTTTGATGATTCAAAACCGACCGCTTTAGAAATTTCTTTCTTTAATGAATCATTAAGTTTAGCCATGTATTTATGATGAATACAAGAAGCAACCACACCGGCAACATGCTCTTCTACCAATTCATATAATGCTACTACATGCTTAAGTTGTAAACCTGATCTTGACAATAATTTATAACTACTACTTTCTTTTAAAACAGATAATTTCATCCAATTTTCTATATAATCGATGATTAAAGTATTACCATCACCACCAGAAGTACGTTTAAGGAAACAAAGTATCATTTCCAATGTGGAAAGCAATTTCTTTGGATTTTCAAACGCGAATGTTACCATAGAAGTACTACCTTCACCGTAATCTCTTGATGAATAAGTTCCGACAAACAAAGCTTTTTTATCTTCAGGAATAGGTACTTGATCAACTAATACTTTAATTTCACTTAATATTGTCATGGATCCTTGAAATATTTCCTTATGGTAAACGAATGTTTCCAAATAAGATTTTTGCTCATTAGGAGTGATAAATGCTTTTTCATGAACTAAATCAAAAGCTAGCTCTGCTTCAATTTTATTTAAATCGTATTGAATTTCACGACCATGACCAATTCTCAAATCAAAATGACTATATCCGAAAATATCTGAACTGTATTCATATGAGATTACATGTACTGGCCTTGCATTCTCAAGAGAAATAGTTTGTAATTGATATACAGAAGGAGTTGTAGGAGTTGTCTGTTTTCCTTTTTTATTAGTTTGAACCACCGTTTGTTCAAGGAATTTTAATGATTGACATGTTTCTGAAGGAATTTCAATGACATCTTTAAGGAAATCATTTTGTAGTTGAACCAAGTAATCTATGGCACCACATAGGAATAAGCCTTCATTAACTTCTTCATAAAATCCTAAAATAACATTCATATTCTCATTCATTTCTGGCATCGCGTGTGGTAACTCTTTACATTGATATCTTTTAACATATGGAATCAATTCATTCCAGGCATCTGAAAAAAGTTCAAACGCATTTTTTAATAATCTACGTGTTTCACCGGTATTGTCGTTTTCACTTTCATCGGCAATAAATTTTTTAAAAGTTAATGATTTAGCTTCTTGTCTGTCAATTCGATATGAAAGACTTGTATGTAAAATCTGAACGAATTTCACAATTGGAAGTAGGCATCGTATAAGTGATAAATATTTTTCATGTTTTAAAAATACTGCCAAGAATGGGTAAGATTCCCTATATTCAGCATTATTAGAATAATGAGCTCGGAAATTATCAAAATTTGTTTCACCAATAAGACGCCATAATCTTGGTAAATGGTTTGAAACATAAAGGTCATTCAATGCCACCATTTCATTAATCTCTGCTTCAATTTTTGGTTGAGCGTTTACAGCACTTATTTCTAATTGCATACGAAAATCTGTTACGGATCCCATAACATTTTTAACTAATGGTGAAACATATTTTTGACTAAATTGTTGTTCCCATGTTTCTCTTTCATTGGATGTATTCAATTTTACTGGTGCTTGTAAAGGTTGTTGCGTCATTTCTGAAATAATTGCATGTAAAAGTAAAGCCAATTGTTCATCACCACATGCAAGAATTTTTTTCAATGCATCCCAATCACTACTAATATGCATCGTGCAAAATTCGGCAATATCATTTTCTCCAAGAGTACTTGTCGTATTACCTTTTATGAACTTGGTGACATTTTGAGATGGGGCTTGTATTCCGATGATAGCATGTGTAAAAAGATGAATTATTCTATAAGATGCTGGTGTCATTGACCGAATACTATAAAAGTCTTCTGTATTTTGTGCTTCTATAATATAACCTCGTTGATCCACAGCGTCCTTTGGTTGAGTTAATGGTATATTATCTAAACGAGAATTTCCTGGTGCAGGTCTGTCATAAGCTTGACCTCCAATGATGCTTTTACACTTTGGACAACTACTAGCACGTGTCACATTTCCACATTCACCAACCAAGTACATATACCCACATTGACATTGATATCTAAATAAATTTTTTAATCATAAATCATTAATATCATTTAATATCATTTAATATAATTAATAATGTTAATGCTTTACCTTGTTAAGCGTTTATCAGCATTATTAGACAACATTACTGCATTAATTATGACTGTTTGTTCATCTGAAGGACATCCCAAAATAAAATCATTTTTACAATCTTGTAAAGTTTGCATATACATAGCCAATGGAGAAGAGTTTGAAGGAACCGAAATATGTAATGCAATTACATGAGCAATTACTGAAGCTATATAAGCTTTCCTATTATCATCTTCGGGACTAATTTTGCAAAGTTCTTGTTTGTTTGTTACAAATTTCGTTAAAGTTTGTTTATAAATTGGAGGAATACGATTTTTATCCGATTTATTATCTAAAAACTTGTTTATATGATTTGCTAATAATGTTTCACTTTGATTCCATTCACGACTTGCTTGAATTAAATAAAGTCTTGTTATTAACATTCCTGCAAATGAAATTCTATGATTGATTATCCCTTCTGCATTGGGATTTAATATGGTCTTTATTAATTCTTTCAAATGAATATCATCTCCACGAACCATTATTCTTGTAGCTGCATGTTCAGCGTGTTTATATTGTTCCATACACCAATATGGATTATAATCAAATCGAGTATCTTTATTATCCCACGGAATTTCCCCAAGATGTGGTATGAGTTGTTGTTGCACTTCACAAAATCGTCTAATATCATCAATAGAAAATCCTTGTAATCGTAAAGTCTTTAATAAGTAGAGCATAAATGAATGAATTAAAGGTTGTGTCAATCCTAAACGTCGATTTAAGTCATCAATATTGAATTCTTCTTCATCAAATTCGAATTCTATAGGGTCAGTTAAAAATTTTTCTGTTGATGTTGTAGATTTCCATAATTTATATACAAATGATTTCAAAAAAGCGATAGCTGATATTCTTTGCAACGTTTTAACATCAGTGGAAATCAGAATTTCTGTTGCAATCGTGAAATATTGTGATAATTGTCTAAATTCATAGAAAGCATCAAAGAATTGAGTTTGAATAACATCACAACATAAAGCCGATATCTCTGAATCAGGATGCTTTCCACTCAAAACTTCTTCGATTACTTGTAAACGTTCAGATTCATCTAAAGCTTCATGTGGGTCATTAATTAAGTCAATGAATAAATCATTTTGCTCATCATATTCCATCTGAAAGATACGATAAATTGTCGGGAAGGTTAAAGGCAAAGGATCCTGAGAAAATACTTTTCTGTAAAGGTGAAGACGAATAGGTGATTCAAGTGGCAATATGCTTAGGCATCTGTGAATAAACGATCGTCTTGATGATAAATTGTTTTCTGTAATTGGCAATTCATTAAATCTTTCAAAGACCATATCTATAAATTGTTCTGAAATAACTTGTTTCTCATCTTCAAGTTCTTGAATTTCTAAAAGTTTTGGCAAATCAAAAGATTTTGAAAGATCATTATATATTCGAAGTCTATGCATTGCTGGATTTTCAAAAGAATCTGGTAATTTTGTCGATAATGATATAATATTTACAACATCATGTTGCCATGTTAAAAGTTCATTTTCAATATTTTCTACATCAATTTTATAGAGTTTTCCTATCATCATTTTTGATATTTGGTCTAATAAACGTTCTTCAAAATTCAATTCTCTACTCTCTTCAAATCCAAATTCAATCATCTCTTCTATAACTGTTGGACACATTATTGATAATTGTAATTCAGCTAGTGCAAATTCAGCATTCTTCCACCAATACATATGAAGTTTAACAGGATTAGGTATTTGTAGACCCATGTGATGAGTAATAATCCATGACAAGAATCTACAATTATGATCTGAATTATTTCCATAAGTTGGTGAGACAAAATCTACAAAATCTTTGAAATAAGGTTCTGCTGCTTCGAAAAATTTCGGTAACTTTAATGCTGGAACTGTAGATATAATGCTTGCGAAAAACCTTTCCATGCAAGCATCGACAACAGAAGTTTCAAGTTCACCAGTTTCCTCATCTAAATTTTCTTCACTTCCTTCCAACATTGCTAAATCTTCTTCATATAATCTTTTGAATTTATCAATCTGTCTCATAAAATATAATGAGAAAGGAAACTTTACATAAAGTTTTTTATTTCTTATAGGATACGCATCTGGTTTAGGATCTCGCAGATTCTCTGTGTTGATAATTTTAGGGTCCATATAAATGTTTTTCCAAAATTCGAGTAAATCAGAACCATCCGAATGTTCGTCACCATATAAATCATCGTATAATTCATCACAGTTCATATATTCATTATTGAAAAGTACTGAAAGACCTGATGACATTTCTAAAGCACAAAGAAGTTTAGCAATAGGTTTTCTAACGAGATAATTTATATATGTTTTAAGTGCGACTGAAAATGATGAATATAAGTATAGATTCGTTTTATTCATTGCAATTTGTAATTGCCAATTTTCAGGCGTATTTTCTTTTAACCACTCAAATGAGCTGGTTTTTATACAATCAATTAACGTCTTGTGATATGGTATTTTTTGGAAAAGTAATCTGTTGATAAATAAATAAATATATATATATAATAAATTACAGTATAATAATGAAGAATTATTTAATCTATTTAAAACAGACTTACTTTATGTAGTCCACAGATTCGGTTGAAGACTGAAATCGCATGCATAGTAAGCACCAGAATAATTCTTGATGCATAACTTCTTCAAATGTATATGTATTCTCAAGTATATTCATTAAGCTTCCATCCAAATAAACGTATAGAGGGTGTTTTTGAGGAGACAAAGTTTCAATTGTAACTAAATCCCATCCAGACATGAAATTGAATGATGATATAGTGCGTATATCATTTTCACGTCGCATGTGAAGAATAATACAGACATGTTTAAATGGTTTTGGATTTTCTACATTTAAAGATAAGAATTCATATTTATATTGTTCAATAATGAATTTTGCAAGTTTAATACATCCAGAATTAACAGTTTCCAAGTCACATTGTAGTATTAATATTTTTTTATCCGATTCTAACCAGAAATGCTTGATTCTATTTTGCAATTGAGCTTCAGATTTAAATGTTGAAATCTTATCAATCTGACATGTAAGAATATTGTCTAAGCATGAAGTTATATCAGTATTGATATTTGAAAATGTATTGACTATAATTTGGAAACCTTGTTTTTTATTTTCAATATTTTCGATATTTTCAATGATTTCATTATTTTCAATAGTATCATAATTTTCAAGCAATAATTGAATATATGTATTAAGATCATCATGTTTCTGTTCATGGAAGTAGAAATTATACCATTTGTGAACATCGGCGCTATTTGTATGTGCCAATATTGATTTCTTTGATCTTACAACACCATCTGATGTTGCAATTCCTATTAACAACTCTTTGCATCTGGACAGAATAACATCATCATCTAAATTAGAATTACTGTTATAGATCACTAAACTTTGCAATGTTTCTTCTTCATCAAATCCAACAAACATGTCACGTTCGTTAAATTTAGATGTGCCATTCTCTTCGTTAAGACTTGATATTTGTTTAACCCATTCAGATAATTTTTCTACTAATTCTTTCATATCATTAGTTAATGTATCATTAATTGACATATTTTGTTTTTCAAATCGATTTAAAAGAGGTGGATCTGCAAGTGATACTTTTTTCTCGTCAAGTACCAATATACAACGGAAGTTGCTATGCACGCAGACCATAGGATTTGAATAGGCGCCTAATGCAACGCGTGTGTAGTATTTGATATCACCTTCTTTACCAACAGTTATATAATTCTGATTCCATAAATCATAAAGACTTCCTATAAAGTTACAGTAATATAAGTAATATAGAAATATATCACGATTTTTGATATAAAATGATATCAAATAAAATTTTAGATACCATATATAATTTCAAGATCCGTTAAAATCAAAGGTCTTCCAGCTTCCACACACATCTAATATTATCAAAATTACGTTTATATTGACTTTAAAATATTATTTAAAGTTTTTAGAAACGCTTACCATAATGCGACTTAACACTCCATATTGATAATCTCCATCAAAATCATCAGGAAATTGACTTCCATAAATAACTACCGGTTCTAAATCCCAAGCTGCCCTCTCTTGAATTATATTATTGTCTGTCTTCTTTGAGAACTCTTTACTCCATTGTCTCAATTTATATGTCAAGATATTAATAATTGAATCACTTTTACCAATTATCATTAAATGTCTTGCATCTTTATCCTTAAGGTTTGCTTTTATCAATTCTTCAACTGAAATCGGTTTTAAGTTGCTGGCTAAATTACCGAATAATGAACTATGGAAACTGTCTATAACTTCTTTGAAATGAGTTAAATATTGGTTATTCATTTGTTTCATTCCTCCAAAATTTCTTGCTAATGCCATCTGTGTGGACTCTATAGTAATCTACAAATTTTCAAATTTATTTAAAATTGTTTATATAAATGCTGATAACAAAAAAAAAAAAAAAAAAAGTTAATATATGAATAATACCTCTCCGTCACTAAGACTTTTAACTAATGAATAATAATCACGAAGTCCATGAAAATTTGCGATTGATTGATTTTTTTCATATCTTAGATAAGAACTCGCCAAAGATTTAAGCTTTGCAGTTCTATTACCCCAAACCATCCATGCTTTCTTTTGAAGCAGTCTCTCTGCTGTATCGATTAAATCCTTTTCTTCAAATTTAGGTCTAAATAATAATTAATTAATTAATTAAGAATTTTTTTGATGATAAATATTTGTAAAAACATATGTATTTACTGACCTTTGAACTAATAAAGCTCTACTAGATTTAGAGTTGTCTAACCTCCAGTTACTTATTCCAATAACAGAAACATTTGGAAGTTCATTAGGGTAACTCGGTTCAAGTAATGAGTGTAATACCTTCAACGGATTATAAGGACTGGTCTCAGCCAATCCGACTAAAATAATAAAATAATAAATTATTAGAAAGATTTATTATTAAATATATTATAAATTGTTTCGTTTATTAAATACCTTCATCAAGTAAAACTACAGTATTTAAAGGAAATTCTTTTGAATTGGTTTTTTGGTATTTTTCCGCTTTTTGGAAAACTTTAATAATTCCATCTGAAGTGGATGAAGATGAACCTTGGTAGGGAATAATATAAACCTAAAAAAAAAAAAGGACAAAATGTATAAAAAAAAAATGTCAATTTGAAAATTTTCAATATAAAATATATAATATTTTTTTTCTTACTTGTGGTAATGTTTTAAAATATGGGTCATCAGAATCAGCACCTCGAAGATTTTGACTAACTAAACGAATCGCTAACGATTTTGATGCTCTAATTTTTAAAAGAGAAAATTTAAAAATCGACTATATTTAAAACAGATAAATATCTTGTAAGTAATAACTTACCCCGGAGCTCCAACAACAAATAATGGTATTTTTGTAAATATAGAAACTATCATCGTAAGCACATTTTCAAGTAGAGCTTCGTTCCCTGCAGTTTGTGGCTTAATACAATATAACAATAACAATTAGAAAAGTAGAATTAGAATTTATTTTAAGTATAGATTAGATAATTACCGGTTTTGTCATTCTATTCATATAATCATCTTGTTCATTTTTAATAATCATTGTAAATCCTTCTGGTGTCATATTTGTTTTAATTGACCTCGGTTTATTCTGATTAAATACATCGCAAATCCTTTTGCGGTATGCTACACGCAATTCTTGATCATAAATTCGAACTTGGTAGCAAAGACTCAAGGCCAATATATATGATATAACCATAACATCTGGTCCATTTCTTGAAGGATATTCCTTTGAGTATGAGCCATTGGGCCGTGGTCGATTTTTTAAACTCTTATTAAAGTATTTAACAAGAATTATTGCACGTTTAACATCACGTAAACTAACACTATGTACTCCTTCATGAATCCGTGTAAATTGTTGTGAAGCAAATAATAGTTCAGGGAATAAATCTGACGATTTTTCTAAATGCCTATTAACCATTATACTAATATAAATTTTTTCATCAGATGGTTTTAATACACCATAATCCCATACATAATCAATAATTTGATCAGGAAGAGGATGGACTTGATATGCTAAATTACTTTGTTCTTCATATCTTTTTGCTGAAAGTCCTGCCTGTGTATCACTTTTTTGTCGTAAACGATATGGGTTACATGCAGAGAAAAGTCTTATGTCAGGGTGAATTAGTCGACCATGAATTTGTCTATGTGCTATAAGTTCAGCAAGTAATCCAATATGATTGCAAGTATTGATTTCATCAAAGAATAACCATATTGGCCCAGTATCAGCGAATTTTTCAGCATCAGACATGAAATCTAAAATTTCTTGTTCTTTAACACCTGCATGCAAATTAAGGGCCCTAAACTCGACATCTACTACAATCGATAAAAATTGGATCAGGCTCGTCTATAATATATTTAACAAAAATGATATATTAGTGCTACAACTCTTATAAAAAAAAAGGATGCTTGTTTATTTATTTCATTTTATTATTTATTTCATGTTACCTTGCCACATCCAGCTTCACCACAACAGACCACAGGTACATTAGCACGAGCTCGTAAAAGAATCAATGCCATTTTCAAAAGATTATCAGCAGAAAGCGCGTACGGTGGATATTCACGTTTATCAAGGGTAGTACGTGCTAAACATTCTAATTTTTTAAGAATTTCATCAGGATGCATTGTATCAAAATCATCTAGAAAATTTGTTGCTTTTCCTTTAGCTTGATTTCCAGTTCCAACATATTGACTTTTTAACAAGTTTACAACATCATCTGGTACTTTTTCTCTGTCACGATAAAGTGCACAAATTGAGTCAGGTGTTTGTGACATGAAAAATACTAATAAATGATTTGAATCTTCCCAATGTTTAATTGTTCCTAGATTAGCTTTCTCTGCATCTGGTAAATGTTTTAATTGCTCTGCTTTGGACTCTACAGAGCGAGTTGCAAAATCAATTGAAACATCTAATAATGTTTCTAATAAAGTTTTTCTAACACTTTTATCCTCTACCATCTCACGTAACGTTTCTATTCTGAAAAATGTACTTGATGATAATCTTACTAGTTGATCAGCAAGAACATTAATAAATATTTCAAGGAAACGATATGAAGTAACATCTTGTGTATGTTTCCTGAAAAAATATTTTTGAAAAAGTTCTTGACAACGTTCTTGTGATATTTGAAGTATTTCGCCATCTTCAGGTATAATTTCCTCAACTTCAGGTATAATTTCCTCATCTTCAAATATAATTTCCTCAACTTCAGGTATAATTTCCTCATCTTCAGGTATAATTTCCTCATTTTCAGGTATAATAAAATCGATATTTTCTTGATTAATTAAATCTTGATCATATGCATCCAAGTATTTAGCAACTATTTGAATTGGACTATTATAATTATAAGAAATGGCAAGTTTTTTAATATTCCATGTTAAATGTGTTTTTGCCAAATACCCAGTAATTGGCAGTGAATTTAACAAATATTGATTTATAGTAGAAGCAACTTCTATAAATACTAATTTTGTTGACGGAATGAAAGCAATATTAATTCCATTTGATACGACTCTAAATGTTAATAATTCAAATAAGAACATATTCACATCATAAGCGTGATCTATTAATACAATATTAAGATGTAAACTTTCAAATTCCTTGATTTTAGTTTCAGATAATTGTCTAACAAGTTTTTCAAAAGTAACACCATCACTTATTAAAATACTTCGTGGAATTAAATCATTTCTAAAACTAGATTCTTTAATCCATTCTGTTTTTCCTTGTCCAGACAAGTCTGAAGAAACAGTTGATACATTTGGACATAATTCTTTATATATATTTCGCATTGAATTCGCATTAAGTCCATTAGTTATATGAACATATTCAAAAAATTGATCAAGTATATGATGATGCATGCCATGTTCACGGCAACATATTAACGCTAAATTAAATTGATTTTCTTGGAGAGATAGAGAGCGTATATGTGTTACTAATTGATATTGCAATTCGAAATCAAGATTTTCCACGTTGGCTATGACGAATAATTGATCGCCATAATTGTATTTTTTTGCAAAGAAACATCGTTTAGTAAAAATTAAGAGTTCTTCTGCTGTAGTAGATGCTTTACAAATCAATAATTGCCATGATTCTGGATAACATCTATTTAGATTAACAGCATATAAACTCATTATAATATTTGGTACTCTAAATTTATCAGTACATGCTGCAACAAAAAGTTGTCCCGGAATAACCACATCAGAAACTATTTGTTCAACCTCTGCCGTTATTGGTCGTTTTTTCGCCGGGACCTCAAAGATCTCACTTAATTTTTCACCGATTCCACGAAGTATATCAAGGTGAGGATCAGTACTGTCGATATATTCATCTGTCATTAGTGGTAACTCAGCCTCGTCATTGACCAATCGTAAGAGCATTCTACATTTATCTTTGTTACTTTCTTTCTTTTCCTTTGATGAAAAAGAAAAATAATCGTAAAAAATCAAAATCTGTCGAGCTAAAAAGAAAGTCAAATAATAATGGTCATGTTGTGCCTGATTAACTATATCCTTCCACTCTTGTAAATTTTCATTCAACTGTTGTAATAACTCATTACTTTCTTGAGTAGATTTTGTTGACACTTTAAAATCACGGTAATTAAAATGGCCAAGTTCTACAAGCTGTGAAGACACGTTAATTATCTGTTGTGCAATGTCAACTTGGATAACAAATTCATTCATATGGAAAGAAGAGATCTCGCTACTCCTATTACTATCTTCTGATTCCTTCGCGTTAACAGGGCTTTTAGCAATTAAAAGAGCACGTCCACGTAAGTCTTGCAGATCACTGAAGGTATACTTTGTTAATGTATTTCCATCACGTGTGTTATTTGACCGATAAGATAATGTTGCAGTACATCTATATTCATCACCTTCAATTCTCTGAAAGGTGTAGATACCTTTCGTTGCTGCATAGTAAATCCTTTCCTTAGTTACTTCGCCTCTATTTGAAATATTTTCGTACATGTTTTTTAACGCTTGAGCATGTGCGTTACATAGCCTTAATTTGCTATCAAGTGATTTATTTTTAGATATTACATTAAAAAGGTTTCTCAAAAATTTGTCTACAGCCTGATCAGCAGAATCTTCACTTTTAACTACCAAAGGTTCCATAATTTGTTTTACTCGAATAAAAGTTGAAACAGTATCTTCTTGTATTAAACGTTCATCTGAATGATCATCCACACCATTAATTAAATTTTTTAGATCATGCCCTACAAGTGATTGTAAAAATACAAGAAAATCTTTTGAAACTGCCATTTCTTTAATTATTGGCCAACATTTTTCTAACTTGAATTTATCAATAAATTTTTCTAGTTCCACGATAATAGCTTGCAATTGACTAAGTTTTAATTCTTTTTCTTCTAAAGATTGAAAACCTTTTTTAGCCCAAAGTCTTTGACTATATGGTATTTTTAAAGTATCTAAAACTGTTAAAAGATTAATTAATTTCTGTTTTAATGAATACATGCTAACTAAATAATTTGCAGCCGAAATTAATGATTTTTTGTCTTGAATTCGTTTTTTAATGGAATAAGACTGTGTAAATCTATCACAATTTGGAGTTATGAAAGAAATTTCAGATTCTACATCATTTAAATCGACATTTTGCCAGATAATACTCGCTTCAGAACATTTAATATCTTCCCAATTTTCATATTTTTTGCATATAATATCAAATTGTTCAATTGCCACATGAATTAACTCAGTGGTTACGATTTCAACAGTCAGAGGTCGTTCTTCTGCCTTTAACACAGTTTGAAAAACCGTGTTAAAAGTTTGTGATTCAACAAACTTATAAGATTTTTCCATAACATCAATTGTTGCACAATGAATTGACCAATAATATTGAGAAGTAGTTTCTTCAAGAGCAACGTCATTAATTTCATTTTGTCTTTTTAATAAATCATCACGATATTCATGATAGCCAGCTATCAAGTCAGGAGGATAAAATTGGTCATAAAATTTAGTAAGTTGTGTAAATGTTGTCTGATATTTATGATATTGTTGACGTAGATCATTAAGAATTCCATCAGTAATTGCAAGGTTTATAGTAGCATCTTCTGGTAAATTTTCTATTGCGGAATTAAAATAATTTATCAAAATATCATTATTATGACCCGAATGTTCGAGTAATTCTTGAAGCAATCCTACTGTGATTGTACTGTCAACAATTGATGTTGCAAGGCGAACTGCGTGTTTTCGTACATTTTGAACGTGTAGATGAGAATGTAATTTTTTCGTGTTACCCTTTGCTCGAAAGATTGTTGTCCAAAATTGAGAGAATCGAAATGATGAACGTAAAAGGAGTACTCTATCCTGGAGTTTTTTGTCAGACAATTGTTGTAGACGATCTAATATTAAACATAATATATCCTCACAAAAGCTATTTTAAAATGATGAGATGTGTTAATGAAGATTTATAAATACCAATAAAGAATAATATATAATATACCTATAAGGATTGCATATGAATGCTTACCTGCTGTTTATTGTTAGATCGGTAGTACAATCGCATATTTGCAAAATCTTTTTCAAAAGTTGATTATCAGGTTCTTGAATACTATGTTCAATTCTGGATTTTAGCAAAATACTAAAGTGATCAATAACATCAATATCAAAATCTTCAACATATGATGCAACAGAGAGTATAACATCATCAGACAAAGGACCCGCAGATCTATCAGCAATAAGTTTAAGCTTATTACAAAATTTAGGGTAATTTAAAAATAGTGGATATATTAACGATAAATTATAAAAAATGATGTGGGCGATATTATCTGCACCCTTTTTTTTATCAATTTTAGAGGTTCGATAAGCGATTATCTTTTCCAGCCATTTAACAGAAGTTTCAAGAACTGATTCGCCTTTTTTCGTAATCTTTTTTTCCAAAACATGTTTAATAACGTCAGGGAAAGTTTCTAAAACTAATATTTGATCTGATTCTGAAATTGCATCAAGTACTTTGGCATATTCTTCTAATGACCATTGTAATAAATCATCACGAATAAGATCTTGAAAACAAGTGATATTTTTATTTTGCCATTTTAAATCTCTGTCTTTTAATAATTTTACAATTTTATTCCGAAACTCTGGTGCAATTGTATCTCGGAGTTTATCCGGAAATAAATCAAAGTGCGTCCTCAATCGAGAGGGATCATCAGATTTTATGAATTCATTCACCCTTCTTTTCATCAGTTTGCTCAAAAAGTCATCAGTTTGCTCCAATCCGATAATATCAATCCATAAATATATGAGGCTTTCCATATTATATGTTAGGTTAATTAGTTTCTGTAAGAAGATAATAAGAGAATTGTTAAAAAGGATTATGCCGATATTCACGTTTTATAAAACATGATCTTACCTTAATAACTCTATGAAATACATCCAGATTGTTAATAAATTCATTAAGATGAGGTTTCACATTATCTATTAATGCCATATAGAACTGATCATTGTTATTTTTGAAATCATAACATTCAGCAGATTCTACAAACAAATAAGATTTATCGAGTTTTGGAGCAAGAGAAAACATTCTAAACCATGATGTTGAACCCTGAGAAGAATTATGCTGAACCAGGATTTTAATTGCAATTTGGATTAAGTACTTAATATCAGAGAGAACAAGATCTGGATCAATATTTGCAAGATCTTCTAACAAGTTAGCAGATTGAAAACTTTCTGGTAACGAATGTGCAGCTGTGTAATAATGATGTGATTGTAAATATCCGAGAAGGATGCATAGGAAAAATCGTTGTTCTTTCTTATTGCTATCAATCAATTTGTTATTAATAAACTTGATATTTGTTGCAGAAATTGTGAACTCTTGATAAGTTTTTGATATATATTGAAAATCCATAATTCTGTCTCTCAAGCTTTCAATACTTTCAATATTTGCATAAATACATTCAACAAATCGAAAGTCTGCTTTAAGATATTCTCTGTCGATTTTAAATTTCTGATTACCTTGCCAGATGTCGTATTGATGTTTTCTGAATACCATTTTACGGTCATTTGACTTAGTAAAGCCTTCGAATTCGATCGTCGTATTAAAAAAACCTTTAATTATCATGCCATATTTATAAGATACTTCCGCAGTTTCCTCAATAGGAATTTGTACAAGATTAGATTTCCAGAGTGTAGAATTCGGAATTTGTTGAAGTTGTACTTTTGGTTCTTTCCATTCACCTAAAGCTTCACAACTTCCAAGAACTACTGGCTGAACGGATGAATCAATACGTGGCAAATGAACATAAAACGTATGGGAGCCTGAGCCTCTTGTATCCCTATTACTCATTTTTTTTCTAATAGTTTTTTAAAAAAAATTATTATCGTTTAATGATTTTATTCAATAACACATATAACCACTTTCTTAAAAAAAAGAAAGGGTTCGGACTTTTTTTCCTTAAACAAACCAAGAAATGATTTAGGGTTGTTACACTACAGCTATATTTGACTACGAATAAGGGAAATTGTACATTACAGTAAATCGAATTGGCGGAATTGGACCTTTATTCAAATATCCTGATTCAATAGTTAATATCGCAATCGATACTCTTCAATTTAAATAAGTAGGGACTTAAATAATTCCGGCGTCAATTCGCCATAATTCAATTTCAGGTTGATGAAGAATTACTGTAGTCAATGTTAGCAATAGTTTATTATATTCAAGTTTATTGATATTTTAAATTTAGTAAATAATTAAGAATTACGATTATAAAAGTATGTAACCATAATTCCACTTTGGACTATAGACCCTTCACTTATAGCGATTGGTCATCAAAAAAGTGCAACCCGGAAACGTCATGTCATAACATGTGTATTATTATTATTTTTTTCAAAATTATTTATTGGGAGAAGTGATAGGGCGATCATTATTGCGAGGTCAGATGACTTTATTGCAAGGACCTGTTAAATTCCTATGTTGCATTTCAGGCAACAGCTATCGCCTGTTTTTCCTTCTCAAAGCCCAAGTGTTTGGTATTGTTAGCTTGTTAAATTGTATATAACTGTATGACCATAACCGTTTAGGTTAGAGCTTGGAATAGTGAACTTTTCTCAATCGTCGAAAAAAAGGAAACCATCCAGCGAGAAATAACAGATGCTACCGGCTTTCGAAAACAATCTTGCAAAGCATTAATTTCAGTTGTCTCTATTTCTCCAAGAGCAATACGAAGTGTCGCTAAAAAAAATCATAATCTCATCAGTTAAATAGGAAAAACATCGGCCCATAATCCAATAGTTTGGGTTTTGTGGAAATTGAATTATTTGAATCAAACGAAAATATCAGTTAAGGCTAAGATGGTATCTGATTGATTTTAAGCTTTCCAAATATATATATCATTTTTCATAAAATCTTCTAATTCAATTAATAATTCGTTGTTCCAAGAATGAAGATCCATAGCAAAGCTACTGGAGAGATCTACTTTGAATATTCGATTAATGGTAAATTTTCTTCAATATAAAAAAAAAGCTTGTAAATGAAAATATTGGGGGTTTCATAATTAATGATTCGACACCTGATTTAGAATGAAATAATACAAACAAGATTTTTTAAAACTCTCGCTTATTTTAAATATGTTATTTTAATAATAAAATATTTTATTTACGCTTTTATTTCAATAAACTACAAATTAATGACATATTACTTAAATTATAACAAGAAAAAATTTAACATTACTGTTACAGTTGATAAAATCTATCAAAGTGAAAATTGAGTATTGTTATCACTTGTGGAATTGATAAAGAGTAAATGGTGTTCGAGATCTGGGTAAATATATTTGTTTTTATCATCATAATTTTTATCATTACGGTGTTTCATAATTAGAAATTAGCTTATTTCAAAAATAAGTAGGAGTTAAAAAATCTTGTATTTTAAATTCAAAATCAAAAAGTGAAATAAGAGAGTCGGGACTATAAATCAAAAGCATAAATAACTTTAATCGATTGAAATAAGTAAATGGTTAAATGGTGTACTTGTTTATATCACTAGGTGTCTTGGCAAAAAGGAGAACTTTTGATCCTTTTAATTTTAAAACAGAATTAAGCAAATTTATTACACCTGGTTATTGAAAATATATTTATTACCTTTATTTATATATGGATGATATCTTTATTCTTTATGATTAGGTTAAGTGGTGAGGTTTCTCTTGCAGAATACAAGGGAAACAAGGTTGCCGGTGTTTATCTATTATTTGATTACTTCCTATGTTTACTGTGAAAATTAAAAACCTATCTATTTTCCATTTTCACAGTCAAGCAATTCAGTAATGATGTTAAGAATAGGCCTCCGCACGGGCCTGGGCTACCCATGGGTACCCTTAGGGTAGTACTATATGAGATAGACCGGGGTATTAAATTATAAACCCTTAAAAGGAGATAGGGCTGAATAGGGCTTGAATATTAGTACCCTAGTAAGACTTAGATCCAGATATACCCAGCCCTGGGTATCGAAGGGTACCCGTCATTGTACTACGAAAAATCACATAAGCACAAATCTTAAACTTTGATTGGCTAAAATTTCGTACTGGTTAGATAATCTAAGACTTTAACTTTGCATGATCTTCTTCTTAACGTATAAAAGAAAAAGAGATTATAATAAGCAGATATTTTTCTCAAGAAAAAATAAAAGAAACACCGCATAATCAGTAGAGAGGTTGTTGTCGAAGGTGTAGTTTTCAAATTAACCAAAATAAATTAAAAAAGAAAAAAAAGAAAAAATAGGTAAGTTAAACGAATATTCCAATCTTATTTGAGATTTTAAGTGGGTCAAGTTTTTTTAACTGTTATGATACTAATTGTATAGTGTGCTCTTGGCCAAATAAGAATTGTACTTGCAATGAACGTAATCTCTACAATACAATAGATGTTCAAAATATAACCTCTACTAATACAATGGATATACAAAACATAACCTCTACTGATACAATGAATATTCAAAATGTAATCTCTACTGACTCTGTGACTTCGTCACTCATACCAGTATCTCCTGCTGCTGACAACACCATCACTGTCACAAGTTTAACATCTTCAAAAAGCACTTCAGCAGTTTGGGAACACTTTACCTTATTATCAAATAAACTAAAGGCAAAATATAAATATTGTAAAAGACAGAGATTTAAAATGGCAAAATAAAAATATCACTTGTTTTCAAGATCTTATTCGTGATGATTTATTACAA